AATATATAAATATATATTAAACATTTATATATTATATATATTTATTACACATATTATATATGTTTTCATTATATATATTTTTACAAGCTTTAGGTATTCTTTTAATTTCTGTACTTTAAAAATGCGTACAGACTCATGCATAGACACACAAAGACACTTTAAAATCTTAGAGTGTTTCTACAGTGATACCAATTTTATTTCCATTATGCTTTTGACCTTTTGCTTTTTTTGAAAGGAGTGTTTTATATTAAGAATACTATGTTCCATTCAGTCTTGGTAGCACATCTTTAGAGCACTTAAATTTTAAAATATATAAGTCTATATAAAATTTCATTATATCATACAATATTCTTTTCACCCAAAGTCAAACTCAGGATAAAATTGACTTCCTGGCATCCTTTTCAGTGACTGGCAACAGCCCTAGACAGCCCTTCCCTAGCCCTTTTCAACCTGAAAATTAATGAGAATTTTTGTCTGCTGTTGAATATAGCAATTGGAATGTTCTTGATCAACACAATTATCCCCCAGCTTTGTTCAAGCAGTAAGTGCTCTCGATTAATAAGCCATATATTCAGTTCCATTACATCTTTTTATCTGTAAAAGTTCAGTCTCAAATCTTATTCAGTCTCAATCCCTTGGAGGAATTGAGCTCAAATTGTCAGGGTTGGCAGAAGTACCTTTCCCTGCTGAGCCATGACAGTAACCCTTAGTTGATGATCCTTTTAATGTTATGTTGAATAAACTTTACCATGTTTAGGATTTTTGTATGCAAGTTCATTGGAAATATTGGCTTCTATTTTATTTCTTGTGTTGTCCTTTTTTGGCTTTGATAGGAGGATATTGCTGGTTTTTGTAAAATTAATGTTTCTTTTTATAAATTTATTCATGTGTATGTGTGTTTTGTCTGCATGTGTGTCTGTGCACCACCTTTTGGCCTGGACACTAGATCAAAAGAGGGTATTGTTAGGTCTCAGAAACCCGGGATAAACAGCTAGCCTATCAGAGCAGATGCTGACCAGCTCTCTCAGCTCACTAAGTACCGGTGGCTCCTCCCACACACTTCTAACTCCGCCCTCTACCCTAAACCTCTCCCTTCCAGAGTCTGGGCTTCTGTTTCCCTTCCCCGAGCCTGATCCCTCTATAACTTAGCGGTTTTGACTACCTCAGTCTCTCGACTTTTGAACCACCCCCTTGGAGGGAGTGGGGCTCTTGGTCAGCCACTCTGAATGGTTTACCAGGCATGTTCAGCCTGGACTCTTACCTCTGCCTGCTTTCTCCCTTATATATACAATAAAAATCTTCCCCATACTTTAAGGGTAGCCATGTCTTTCTCCTTTTATACCACTTTCTCAGTTAGGCACCAGATTTCAGATATTGGAATAATATTTGGTGTTAGCACCATGTGGTGGCTGAAAACCTCTGCAAGAGCAGCCAGTATTAACAACTGAGTCATCTCTCCAACCCTTTATATCAGTGTTTCTTGCTCTCTATTTTTAAGAGTTTAAGAATGATTAGAATAAATTCTTTAAGTACTTGATAGAAATCATTATGAAAACCTCAGATTCTGGGTTTTTCTTTAATGGGAGATGATTTATTATTGTTGTTGTTGTTGCTATTATTATACTATTATTCAATCTTACTTGTTACTAGTCTGTTATTTTCTATTCACGAGTTACGTGGAAGGGCAAAGTTTCCTCCATCTTGTCTCAGGGGAGCCATCATTGGTTTAACCTGAAACTGACCCCCCCACACACACACATTTTTTTACTCTGCCATGAAAAATATCATGGGAAAGTGTGCAACCCTGCCTTAGAAACTCAGCATCAAAATGCCCCAACTAACTGCATATATTATCTTTGGCTTCTGCTTTGCTTTCTGCTTGCTTGCTTTAT